ATGAAATTGGCCATCTTTACCATTTGTAAGTGGAACTTCAGTGGTATAAGTAGTTTAACATTGCTTTGCACTTCCCACCACCTCCAACTCCAGAACGTTTTCATCTTCCCAAACCGCAGCTTCATTCCCAACAGAATAATTTCCCATTTCCCTAGGTCCCTGGCAACTACCTTTCTACGTCTGTGATTTTGACTATTCCAGGTACCTAGAATGATACCTAGATACCTACATGGACAGGAGCGTCCAGTAGTGTCTGACTTATTTCACTCAGTGTAATGTATTTAGGCTTAGCCATGCTGTGCCATGTGTCAGCATTTCCTCCCTCTTCCACCTGAGTGCCACCTTTTGTTTGCCTTTCCTTCACGGATGGACATTTTTGTTGGTTTCTCCTTTGGCTGTATTGCTGCTCTGAGCTCAGAGGGAGGCATTGTTGTGGGTCCTCTTTTATATCTAGGGAACCTGAGGCATGGAGCAATTGCACATCCGATAGGTAAAACTCTTAGGTAATCCCTGGTGGAGCTGAGATTTGAGCCCCTGAAGGCTGGTTCTTGGGCCCCTGCTGCACCAGCAGGGATGGCTGGGAGTGCATCTGGTAGCACAGAAGCAGAGTTCCATGTGTGGTGTCTTTGGAGATAGGACAGGGTGCATCTAGAAGTGACCAGAGCCCCGCTATAATGGGAACGGGACAGGTCTGGGAGGACCAGCAGCGAGGGGAGTTTGCCTGGCCTTTTCTCCCCTTCCTTTAAGATGATTACTATTTACAAAGGTAGAATGCTAAGTGGCTGTGAAGGGAATGGTAGGCGCTCCCTTCTCTAGTGAACCAGCTGATGGCTAAGCTTAGGCCGGACTGTTGTCCACTGCTCTTGGTTGGCTGCACTAGAGCCAAGCAGCACTTGCGTGTTGTTCATGACTCTTGTGTTTGATCTCTTTCTCCTTTTCTGCTTTAAAATTGAGGTATAATTGACATACAGACAAGCTGTCTGTATTTAATGCACACATCTTGTTGGGTGACTTAGCGCCAGTCTAGCTGCTTGGTCAGTGACGTTTCTTCTTGCAGTTTGGTCCTGAAGGAGACTCCATGAGCGGTGTGATGGCGTCCAGTGGGAGGCCAGGAAACACGTGATGGATTGGTGAATGTCTGAAATGACCAGATGCAGCAGATACCTAGAAGAGATCAGGAGGGCTGAGACAGTAGCCAGGAGGGCGGTTGGAGGAGGTGGCTTTTGAAAAGAAATCTGAAAGCCTAAAGGGAAGGCCCTAAAGGGAAGAGGTCAGGGAGAAAACAGCTGGGGCAAGATAGTTCTTCACCTACTCAGGACCAGCAGGAGAGCTTTGTGGCTGGACCAGGAAAGAGGTGGGAGAGGTCGGCAAGGACCAGGTTCTGAGGGCCACACTGGGAGGCTGGATTGTATTCTACGAGAACCATAGGAAGGTTAGGTGTAGCTCCAGTAAGATCTAGTTGGGAGAATATTTTTATTATTGTCCGCATTCTATAGCTAAGAAACTGAGGCCCCAAACCACAGGCAGTCAGTGCCTCTGAGGTGGCTCCTTTTGGGGCTCAGGAAGGAAGGCTGAAAATTCTTTAGGAGTTTCATTGGGGATGCATCTGGTGAGTGACCAAAGCTTAACAACACTGGAATGGTTTTCTACCTTACCTTCTCAGACCCAAGCATGGGGTCAAATTCTGGCTCTGCTGTTTATCAGCTGTGTGACTCCAGGCAGGTGGTTTTACCTCTGTCCCAGTTTTTCCATCTGTATAATGGGTTTAACAGTAATACCTACCTCATTGAGTAGCTGTGAGAATGAAATGAGCTAACATATACTAAGAGCTTAGAACATTGCCTGGTACAAAGTGTTCAGAAGAGACTAGCTCTTCCTTATTTCATTAGAATTGGTTGCTGGTGCTTTGTAGTTACTGCTGTTAGTGTCAGCAGGTAACTCCTTTCTTCGCCTCCTGTTGTGGCTTCAGTGGAGGGCCAGGTGGCGAGCCTGGAGCCCATGGTGGGAGACAGTGGTCTTGTGTACCCCTCCTTAAAATTGAGGGCTAGAAGGTCCTCAGTGAAGAGGAAAAGGAAAGCTTTCCAAGTCACCTCTGGCTCCTCCTGCCTCCACTGCACTCCTGCCCTACCCCTTCCAGACACAGGAATGGAACGAGACTCTCTTTGGCTGCCCAGCTGTGAGGCTGGTACATGCTTCCTTCCCTAGACTTCAGGCTCCTAGGAGAAAATGGCTCACCTGAGTGGCAGAGGTTTTGGGGTGTCAGAGGGGATAATCACTGTCCTGGCAAGGTTTTTTCCTGCAGGACTGCAGTCTCCTCTGGAAATGGGGTTATAGTGTGCCTCCCTCCTAGTATCCTAGTTCTGACCATTGTGCCCACCCCTGCTGGCATTAACAGTTTGCACAAAGTATGGCCACCTGCTGGCCTCCAGGGTCACACTGGCCTATCCCAGTAGTGGGGGCTCCCCTCATTCATAGAGTGGAGAGCCAGCAATCTGTCTGGGGACTTATAGATAGAAAAAGGAGGCATTAAGACTTGGTGTGGAAGGAAAGGGTCCAGGTTAGACCCCCCCCATGCCCGTGGGCAAATGACAGCCCTCTCTGCCTAGTTCTGGGATGACTATACAGCTTGCCTCACAGGGGTTGGGGGAAGATTAAAATGCTTTTAAGTAATACCAGGAAGGGCATTTTCCTGTGCCAGACCCAGTGAGCGTTCTCTGCTGGTCCTGAGACTGTGGATGCTGTTTCCCCATCTCTAGGATGGGTGTATGTCCTTAACCCTGGGGATTTTTTGCTGCGGGAGAAGCTGTGAGCCCATCAGGCTGGCCCCAGGATGAGTGTCCCAGGTGAGCTGCAGGGGTGAGACCTGGTTCTGGCAAGGGCCAGCTGTCAGTAAAGCTGGTGGGGGAGGGATCAGGGACTGCTCCGGCCCCTCCCTGGCTTTTCTTTCCCCTTTTCCGGTATTTCGGTACTTGGGCGGCGATTCACCTGCCCACTGCTGCCACCGGAAATTGCGCAAACTCGGGTTACCCGAGCCCCAGGTGGGCCGGGCAGGAGCAGCATAGGGCAGCTGCGCAGGCGGGTGCAGCCAGGTATGTGCGGGAGGGGGCAGGGCTGGGGGCAGGGCTGGGTGGGGGATACCCGGGCCTTGGCTCCCCAGGGTGGTGGAGACTAGGCAGGTGCTCGCTACTGGACTTTAATAGGACCTCAGGATCCTGCCTTCTGCGTGCTGGCTGGTTTCAGAGTCAGCCAGCCCCTCCCAGAGAGGAGCAGCAGGCCGTGGGCGTCGCACAGCATGCTCAGTGAGGGGCTGTGGGTGTCTCTGCCCTTCTTTGCTGCCGGGAGGCCCCAGGATTGCCCCCAAAGTGACGGAGGGCAGAAGCCAAAGTGGGGATCTGCGTTTCCCTTACTTCCTCGTGAAGCTGAAGCCAATAGAACCCTGCGGAGGGGGCAAGGCAGGAGCACTACTATGCTCCCCGGAACGCGGAGGTGGCTCTGGATGCGGCGTTGGTGGGCATCCTTTGAAAATTGGTGGCTGAGCCTTTGGGCGGGGAAAGGAGGCCTCTGAGGATATGGAGACCCACCTGGCACCCGGGACGCCGGCCTCGCCTCGCAGGAGGCTTGCTTTTGTCCACTCCTGGCCGGGCTTGCCAATCCACACACTGAAGCCTGCATCGTGTACCTCCAGACTCTGTCACGACTCAGGCGCAGACATACGCTTGTGGAACCGCTTAAAGATCCTGGCGCTGGGCTTCAGTCTTGAGTTGTCAGAGCAGTTGTGCAGACAGTGAAGCCTGGAGTGCCCTGCTTTCCCCCAAGGCCAAGGCAGCTCCTCCACCTGTTTGATCTTACACCGCCACTGTGACCCAAAGACTCTGGGAGCTCTATTTTTAACTGCCTTCCACAGATAAGGAAACCAAGGCTGTTACAAGGGCAAGGGCTTACGCAAGGTGCAGTGGGGGCGGGTGGGCGATCGCCAAGACCCTGGGTCAGTGACCCCAGAACTAGGTTTGCCCGACTCCTGTCTGTTCTGCCCACCAGAGGGGACCCTGGAGCCAGCAGGCTCAGTAAGGGGGTGGGCACAGGAGTAGAGTGAGACACTTATGCTTTGGTACTGCTCCTCTGACCTCTTTCCTCCCACAGTTTCCCCATGGTGCTGGGGAAGTAACCGCCCACCCCAACGGGTTGGACTGGTTTGGGTGGCTGAAGCCGCCAATATGGGGGTGGGGTGGGGGTGGGGACAATTCAGGCTATCTGGACAGGGCACAGCAGTTCTGGGCAGAATCTTCCCACTGAAGTTCCTGAGGTTTGTCTTGAGTGGGGGCCTACTTTTTCTATCAGTCCACCTCCCAAGTAGTACTGGCTCTGGTCCAGCACCCCAAAGTCTTCTTTCCATTGTTGCCAGGTCTCCAGCTGAGGACTGGCAGAGCAGATGGAGCGGGGCAGATATATTAGCAGATGTGTTTTGTTTGTCAAGTGTATGTGCAGCATTTTTAAAAAGGGTGATTACTGAATATGCTCACACTTAAGAATCTGAAGTTTGCACACACTTCTGGATCTCAGTATCCTGGAACACAGCACCGACCCCTGGGGCCCCTTGCCATATGCCCACCATGGGCCAGTGCCCCTTTTCTGTTTATCACAGTCTGGCAGTGCATATTGAGCTCCATAGACATCTCAGTTCAATAACTATTTGCTGCATATCTACTCTGTGTTGACAGGAGTATCATGAAACAGACCCAGTAAACAAAACTAATAAAACCTCCAGCCTTGTGGAGTGATATTTTAGGGTGTGAGGGACAGGAAAGCATGAAATAACCACAGACGTGATACGGTGAAGATGATGGGGGAAAAAGAAACTGTGTATGAGCCAGGGAGATGGCTCAGTAGAATAAATGTTTCCCTGGCAAGTGAAAGGGCCTGAGTTAAATACCCGGTTCCGCCGAAAAAAAAGAAAAGGAACTGTGCATGTGTTGGAGGTGCAGTATTTAAGGGAGAGACAACTGGCATTAGTGTTCTTAGTGTCAGTCTCATGTGAATGTGTGTCTTATTTATCTGTTCTGGGACCTAGAGCTTTCACTTTTTGGAGTTTTCGTTTCTCCATCTGCAGGAAGGGGTAACAGTGGCTGACAGGCTTATTGGTTTCGGGAGAGCATGATGTCAAACATCTGGCATGTAATGGGGACCCTCCACCATGCAGACTCCCTCTGCTCTGGATTTTCGGAAGTCCCCATGAGGCCATCCAGCACAGCTCTGCAACTTGGGTAGGAATACTTCTTTTGAGATGCCTGCTGCAGTGACCACTGGTTACCCATGGCTGTTGGCAACTTGAAATATGGCTAATGTGATTTATGAACCAAATCTTAAATTTTTAGTTAATTTAAAGTAAGGTTGAATAGCCATAGAGTGTTGGTGGCCATTGATTTGGAAAGCCCTGAATGGCGGGTCCTTCTGCATCACCTGGGCCAAGTACTTTCTTCCTTCCGTTTTGCTGATGAAAAGATTGGGGTTTGGTGTATGGATTTTATTGTGCATTACCAAGGGCCTGGCAGGGGCAGGGAAGAATGGTGGGGTCACCATGGGCCTTAGACACAGGGTCAGAAATGACTGGTTGCCTGGGGCATCAGGCCCTGGTGCTTGGGTGACCATGTGGACACCTCTGTAGCCAGGCATGCCCTCCTGCCTGGGGGTGCCCATCCCATGGATGGCTGGATACCTCTGTGTGGGAGGCTATGTAATCATGGGCATTTCCACTTTCCTTGCAGCATGTAGCGCTGGCCTGACAGGCATCAGTGGGCCACCTTGCACTGTGCCTTAAATCCCAGATTGCAAGCTGACAGGTAGCTGTACTCCACTGGGGCATGGTGGGGATTTTCTGCTCTTTCCTTATATACTCTGTTCCTGTGCCTGGGGCCTGCCAGGTCCAGGCAGGTAGGTGGCATAGGGAGCAGCTTCCTGCCTGGATGGGTAAGAGGCAGAGATGGTACCAAGCTTACTGGGCAGCCCAGGGTGGGGGGGCGTTGGAGACCTTTCTCCTGTCATTTAACCTGATGCCTCCGCTGGATGACAAAAGGTAGAGTCAGCTCTCTGTGTTAGTTTGAGCAAGGTGATTGTCTTGGGAGCATCAATTTCCCCATCCTCAATGGGGTCTATGAGAGGACTTAGAGACCCAGCTGGCTGGTGCTTAGCATGGAGCTTGGAGCCTGCAAAAGCCGCCTTAAAGTGGGCCTTGTCTTTATTCTCCAGTACCCTTTTTCTTTCTCTGTGCTCAGCTGGGTGGGACTGAGGTGGTGTGGGTGGGGCCATTTGCCTTTCAGTCGTGATTTCCTGCTTGCTGATTGGCTCCCTGTGAGGGAGAGGTGTGGCCTTTAGTTTATAATGGGGCAGGAGTCTTCCTCCTGCAGCCTTGCTGAGCCTTTGTCTGAGATTGTTCAGCTCCTTTTCTTTCCCAGGCTGCAGCTGCTGCCGTGTTCAGCCTCCAGCTCTTCCTGAATGTCTGACTCCTCATTTCTGTGGTCTCTTCAAGACCCAGGCCCTCAAGGTACGTGACAGCCATGCCGGTGGACACGCTGACCCCAGGAGCCCCAGCCACTCCTGCCCTTCCTTTCCGCCTGCAGACCAAGGTCCCCGGCTACCTGCTACGGAGGCCATCAGATGGTGGAGCCCGGAAACCCAGTGCTGTGGAGCGCCTGGAGGCAGACAAAGCTAAATATGTCAAGAGCCTACACGTGGCTAACACCCGCCAGGAGCCTGTACAGCCTCTGCTGACTAAACAGCCTCTCTTTAGCCCAGGCACTCGCCGAACGGTTCTCACACCCAGCCGCAGAGTCCTGCCTGGTCCTGGCTGCCGGCCCCACTTAGATCTGGACATCCTTAGCAGCCTTATCAACTTGTGTGATAGCCCAGTGTCGGCTGCTGAGGCCAACCGCACCCTGGGACAGGCAGAGGGAACCCCCCAGCGACCCCCATCCACCACTCCTCGCCCACTGCCCAGTACCACTGCTGTCCGACGAGTGGATGTTCGTCCCCCACCTGTCTCACCTGCTGGACTCTGCCCATCACCAGGCACAACTGTCACCTCCAGCCCAGTCCGGCCACCAGGTCTGCAGCGTTCCAAGTCGGACCTGAGCGAGCGCTTCTCCCGGGCAGCGGCTGACCTTGAACGCTTTTTTAATTTCTGTGGCCTGGATCCGGAGGAGGCACAGGGGCTGGGGGTGGCCCACCTGGCTCGGGCCAGCTCTGACATCATGTCCCTGGCAGGGCCCAGTGCTGAGCTAGGCAGCTCTGAAGGGGGCTGCTCTGCCCGCAGCTCTACGACAGTGGAGGAGCGCACCCGGGAGCGGGTCCCCTATGGTGTGTCCGTGGTGGAGCGAAATGCCCGCGTGATCAAGTGGCTGTTTGGCTTGCGGCAGGCACGGGAGACCCCTGCAGCCGAGGGCTAGGCCTCTATTTGACATGGAATTCGCAACAGGACAGATCTTGGAGAGGCAGCTGGCCCCTGACCACTCCTGCAGCATTCCATGTCTGGACAGACCAGAGACGGTCCCTGTGTGAACTTGGTATAGCAGCAAAGGCTGACACCTAGGTCAAGAATGGAGAGGGTTACTCCTGACCTTGGACCGTTCTGCCCCCACACAAGGTTTCTGGCATGAGTGAACCCCTACTTGTCTCTTCTGGTGAGGCTGGATTTGGGGCGTTTAGTCCTTTACCATTGAGAGTAAGGGGCCTGGGGAGCTACAAAGCCTGTCTACCCAGTGGCTCCATTTCCTTCTTCCTTCCTTGGTCTCTGTCCTTTGGTGACTTCCTTTTCCTTACTAAGTTGGGCCCTGCCTCCTGGAAACTACCCCTGGGGTGAAGGCAGGGGAAGGAGCCTGGCTATTGCTCTTCCTGATTTTTGGCAGCTGGTTTAGGTGGGTAGAGAACAGGAGGGACTGGCTAGGAGTGTGTACCACTCTGTCCTTCCTCCCTTGTTAATAAATGCAAATGCTTTTTTTCAAGGGCTGGGCCTTCAGATTCTTCTGTGTTTACAAGGAAGAAGGAGGTGGGAGAAGACTTGGAATGGGGCATTTGGAATTGAATAATTGCTTAGCCTACGGTCTGGTGGGTTAGGAGGTCAGCCACAGGCCTGAGATCTACCTATGACAGGGGCTCTAACTCTTCTGAGAGGCTGGCTCTTTCATAGAGGAGGAAACTGGGTCCTGCTACAGGGAGTGGGGACAGAGCTGGGCCCAGAGCTGGGGTCCTCCTTCGTATCAGGAAGGAGGCATGCAGAGGCAAGACTGTCAACCATGCACTGATCTCTCCAATCCCCAGCCTTGAAAGTTCCACCCTTCCCCACCCCTGCCTAGTTCCCAAGTGGGCAGGAAGCTTAGAAAGGACAAACCCTGAACTTGAGGGCACAGTAGGGTGGGAAGCGGGAGCTGTGAAGGAAGAGGAACCTGGTAAGGATGGCACAGAGAGAGTGGCCTTGTCTTTAACCCTGGGAGATCCTGGAAAAGTCTGGCTCCCTCCTGGGCCTTGGGGTAGTTGCTGGTACATCCTCCATGGGTTGGGACACCCTCGGCCCTCCATGCTATGTTTCAGAGTCTGGAAGGAGGTAGGACAGAGCTGAGAGGTCTTTTCTTCTCACTCAGATTAGTTACACTAGTGGGCAGCTAGAGCTGGAATGGACAAAAAAGGGAACAGCCTGGGTGGCCTGTCTCACCCACCTCTCCCCAGGGTGGCAGTGGGAGTGCTGGTGGTGTTTCCTCTGTGGACTGTAGCACTCAGAAACAGGAAGTGCTAATGGAGGTCTGCTGACAGGTTTGATGTAGGTTTTATTTTAAGCATAAAGAGGAGATTTCCGTTGGGCTGTTGACAAATATCCAGATCAGCCCAGCTGTCTGTCTGTCTCTCCAGACCTGGCCTTCTGGGGCCTGGGAAAATTACAGAGAGGAGAAATTGCGTAGCAGAGATGAGCTCATGAGGATGGGCTTAGCCCTCTTTGTGATGATGGAGAGGCTGAAGCACAAGGAGGGCTGTGACCTGCCGGGGGATGTCCCTCAGCATTGACAGTGCAGGAGCTGGATCTTCTGGTCCTGTGCTGAGGAGTGATGGGAATGGGGAATAATCTGGGTCACTCTGCAGACATGCTGCCCCTGGAAGTGTCAGAGACTACACACTGGGCAACCCCACTGGACTCTGCTTCCTTGCCCCTTGCTATGATCTGCACCCCCTGCTCCCCCTGAATGGGGTGGGCCGGCTGCCTTCTGCATGTGAAGAAACTGAGGTTGCAGTCTCAGGCCTCAGGGGAAGGACACCTTGAACCTGCAGGAGGTGTTGATGCTGGGCTCACTCTTTTACTGAGTCCTCAGGGTGCCCTTTGGACTGTCGGGCATATTGTCTTACAACTTGGGGTAAGGGTGACTTATGGGCTGTCACACAGCAGGTCTGCAAAACAGTGGGAGGCCACCCCCTGGTCTGTCAGGACCCCCATCCCAAACAAACAAACAGCAGCAATGCTGGAGTTCCAGTTTTCTTCAGCATCCCAGAAGCCTGTCCTGCTGGCCATTGGATTAAACACTTCCTGGGTGCCCAATCTTGGAGAGGACAGACACAGTCCTGCCCTGGTCCAGGGCAAGAGAAGGGGTGACAGAATAGCAGGCCTGTCACTCCCACAGTAGGAAGCAGATGTGTTCAGGGACTTCTGTCTTATGCGACAGCTGCTAGGTGGGGCTGGGGTGGGCTGGAAGGACTTCGGAGTCTAAGCAGGACAGCTAGGAAGGTTCTTAGAAGGGATGGTGGTGCCTGACTGAGCCTTGATTTCTCCAACAGTACTGTCTGGTCCCGGGAATGCTTGCCTCTTCTGGGGTCCAGAGCCTCCCAGCCTGCAATCCAGGGATCCATGGAGAAGGCAGGCTGGGTGCCCCTCCTATTCCCCCACCACACTGGGGTCTCTGCAGAAACAGCCCCTCTATTGTTCCACTTTCAGTTGGAGTGTGAGCCGCCCTCCAAGGCCTGCAGCTGCTGCCTCATCTCCTGAGACCATGGGGCCTCAGAGCAGCTCCCGCAGGCCTGGCTGGCCCCAGCTGCTTGGCCCCTAATTAGCCAGAGATGAGATCTGCTCCTGATGTACTTCCCACCAGCTAATTATATACATGCGGAGTGCAAGGCAGGCAACCTGGCTGCTCACTTCTGGCGTGGAGGTGGGATGGGTTTCTGGGAAAGGACCCCCTCAGTTCGCCCTTCAGATAGAAGTGGAGTAGATGGTTATGTTTCTGATACTGAGGCCTTCCTGGGGAGTGGGGTGACTGGTGAACTCAGAAGGAATGGTTTAACCTGTGGAATGAGTGTGTGCATGCGTGCGTGTGCCCCCATCCTGCCTGACATACCAGACACAAGGAGCAGAAAAGGGCAGTGAGTTAGGCTAAGGGTCCCTGGGCTCTGGAGTTCTGGGTAGAACGGGACACAGGTGAGGGTGTGGTGACAGCTGCCCTCTGTGGGTGACTTAAAGCTGTGGGTTCAGCCAGGCCCAAGACAGAATGCTCCACCCAGGTACTGAGCAATGGTGTCATTTTCCAAGTACTGCCCTTAACTATTTCAGAAATTTCAAACAAAGAAAAGTTGGTAGAATTGTACTGTAAGCAATCATAACACCTATCTACTAATGCATAACTAATATTTTGCTGTATTTTCTCTATCAAAGATGTGCGCATTTATGCAGCCTTCTGCCCATCCCTTAATGCAACTCATTTATTTTTAGGCTTATCAGAGCAAGCTGTGAGCATCAGTGTGCTGTTCCCATGGCATTTCCACATACATATTATTAGCTAGGGTTCAATATTTATTTGTGCTTCTTTTTTTGCTGAAGGTAAAGTTTGTATACAGTGAAATGTTTAGCCTTAAAGGTATCACATGCTGATTTCAGACAAGTGTACACTGCACCCCAGTCCCCACTCAGGATATGAAACATCATTGTTGCCATGGAAAGTTCTGTGTTGTCCTCCCCTGCTGGTTCCTGCCTCTCCCTGGCAGATATGTGTACAGATTTAAGTAAATTAAAGAGTATTAATAAAAACATTCCTTCACCCCCATCATTTCCCTCTGTTTTGCAACCCAAAGGCGGCTGCCTCCGACTCTGTATTTACTCTGGTACTTTCCTCCATATTTCTAAATAGTGTTTCTTGCTGCTGATTAAACTCAGTCAAATACTGACACACTTTCTGGTCCAGTGTCCTCAGTGTCACTACTGCAGCCTGACTCTGACAGCCCTGCCTTTCTAGCCGTGTGAATTTGGGCAAATGACTTAGTTGTCTTTGTGCCTCAGCTTTTTCATTTATAAGCCAGAATTATGGGACTGTTTAGGCTATTGCATTGTTAAGAGTCTGAGGTGTGAAGCACTTAACGTAGCACACAACCTTTTTATTATTATCAAGGAGGATTGGGGCTGGGGAGATAGCTCAGTAGAATAAGTGCTTGCCTGGCAAGCGCAAGGGCCTGAGTTCAATGCCCGGTTCTGCCAAAAAATAAAAATTTTGAAAAAAGGAAGACTGAGATCTTACCCCTCCTCCTACATTCTACATGTAATGTGATTTTTCATTAAATGAATGTATAATGTTATTTATGACTGTAAATACTGTTTCCTGATAAGCCGTGTCATGTATTTTGGTTGCATTTCCTTTCTTGTACAACTCTTGTTTTTCCTGGAGTTAGTGTCTGCTGTGGTTTTTCATTTATCCAGGTCTATCTTAACCCATCCTTAATTCTTTCAGTCCTTCTATACCCTGTCCTGCCTATAGTTACATTACACACAGCAGGTATTTTATTGGCTCCACTTCCTTCCTGAAACCCTTCAAGTGCTTTCTCTCCTTGCCCTCCTCCTTTCAAACTGGAGCCAATTTCAAAAATTGAATCTCTAGAACAAGCTGTGAGATAAGCATCTATGAGCACCTACTGGGTGCTGCACTGGTGCTGAGCACCATGGCAGTGGAAGGCGATGTCCCCAGGAGGGAGGAAAGCACAGCTCCTGCCTGCCCACATTGCTCCATTTACTGGGAACCTCTCATCCCCTGTGGGAATCCCAGGCCCTCCAGGAGCCCAGGTTTACTTGTATACAATGGGTACTGTTTAGCTGTGCTGCAGCCATTCCCTGTCTATGTGGCTCGGGGCTCTGTTGGGGTGCTACATATAAAAGCTTATGTGGTACTGATCTCCTTATCCCTTGAGGGCTCTGGGAGAGAGGGACCTGGGGAACGGCAGGGAGCAAGGGCAAGTGGGGGTAGGCTTCTTAGAGGAGGAGGTCAGGACACTGCCAGGTTCTAAGGGCTTCACTGAGAACTCTGCTTCTACTCTGGAGGGAAGGACTGCTCACCTGGCCAGCCTAAGATAGCTGGGCTGAGACATGAAGCATCAGTAGGAGTTAGCTAGGGGAAGAAGGGGTAGGAGTGGGACAGGATTCCAGATGCAGGGATGTGCAAAGGCCCTGTGGTGGGAGGACCAGCTCTAGGAACAGAGAGGTGGCCAGTCAGACCTGGAGCCCCAGGGCCAGGTCACACAGGGCTGTGGGAAACTTTGAAGAACCTGAGAGTCTATTCTTCCTGAACTAAAACCCAATGGGCACTGTGCTCACGATCTGGATCTGTTATTCCGCAGGCTCCCCTTTATCCGTCCCTCTATTGTGCCAAGCTACTCCGTTCCAGAAACACATTCCCACCTCACCAGGCCTTCCTGCCTCAGCGCCTTTGCACTTGCTGTTTCTTCTGTCAGTTCCAAGGCCACCCCATCCACAGACATGGCTTATTCTCCCCTTCAGTGTGGGCTTTGCCTACCTGTCACCTCCTGAGAGAGGCCTTTCTGACTACCACCGCCTCTGTCCCGCCACGGCTGAGCCACCAGATCTGAGTTCTCTTCCTTTCTTTGGTTTGGTTTTCTTTCAGCACACCTGTATCCCAGCTTTCATTAGACAGAGGCTACATCATGTATCTCTGTTCTGCCTTCCAGAGCGTAGCCCCAGCAGGCAGGGACTGTGCTTTGCTCTGGGTGGTGCCCATCCTTGGGGAGTGGGAGGTTGTCTTAGGTACTTTCCTGGTCTTCAGGACTCCTACAGTTCAAAGCAAGAGAGTTTATTGGGCTCAAGGTGTTTAGAGTTTCCACAGTAGGCTGGTTCCAAGGTAGGAACAGCAGGGAGGAAGGGCCCGTTCTGGAGGAGAGCTGCTCACATCACCAAGCAACCTTGAGGAGCAGACAGGGAGATAAGTCCTTCCAGGGCACGCCCCCAGTGCCTGCCTCTTCATCAGATCCTGCCTACCAACAGCACATTCACCAGTGATGATCCCACTGATGGTTCCAGTGCCCCTATGTCCCTGTGCGTACACACAGTCTGTGGGGGTGATTCTTATTTTTTATTTTATTTTATTTTATTTTATTTTATTTTATTTTATTTTATTTTATTTTATTTTTTTCTGTGGCCAGCTCAGCCCATTCTGGGAGAGGGGCTGGCGTGGCATGTGGTGCCAGGGATGGAACCATGGTCCCTAGGCTTGCCTAAGCTTGCCTAAGTAGGTGCTTTAGATCACTGAGCTATCCTACTGGCTCCTGTGGGGGTGATTCTTGATCTCGCTGTGACTGAGGTGTCCCATAGACATTTGCTGAATGAAGGAACAAGAGGAAGAGCAAGTGAGAGGCACAGTGGGAAGAACTTCCCCTGAAGATTAGGGATCTGGGTTCAAGTTCTCACTGGTTGACCCTGATCAATGGTTCCCTTTTTCTGTTCCTCAGTTGAGTTGTGAGACATCTGTGGTGTCTGGGGAAGTTCTTCAATCGGACAGGCAGGCTCTGGGCTGAGGAAGGGTCAGGGCCTATGGAGAGGAAAGGAGCTGAGGCCTCTTCCCGGTTGTCTGGTGTTTTAAAATAGCCTGGTTGGCCTCTGCTCTCCTGTGGCGTCCAGCTGGGGCTGAGGCCCTGCTAGCCTCGCCCAGGGTGGGAGCAAGGCCTCCTGACAGCTGGGCCAGACAGTTCTGGGAGGTTCTTAAAGACAAAACAGATCTGTTGCATGCCCCAGCTTTCCTCCCCACCTTCATGGGATTAATCCCTTAACCCTCCCCTTCCTGCAGCCTTTGCGCTTGCGAAGCTTTTCCTGGCTCCGCCTAATTTCATTCCTGCCCAGTGGCTGCTTTCCTGGTGGGGACACTGAGGCTCTGAGAGGGCAGCTGCCTCACTGAGGTGACACTGGGAGGTTGGAGAGAATGAGGTAGGATCTGAGCCCAGGCCTGTGTGGGGCAGGGCACAGAGAGGGAGAGGGAGATGGAGAGAGAGAAGAGGGAGAAGAAGACTTGTGGTCACGCAGGGCCTCCTTCCCCTGCACTGCTCTCCGGGTGTTGATCAAGAGCATCGGGGAGTAGGGCCAGCCGAATAGCTCAGTGGATTAAAGTGCCTGCAAACAGGCACAGGCGCTGGGGGTTTGATCCCGGGGCCCCGCTATGCTGGCCCTGTCCCTGGGGCAGGCTGAGACTGGGCGTGGTGGTACACGCCTGTAATCCTAGCTCTTGGGAGGCTATAAACAGGCAGATCACTACAAGTCTAATCTGGTAGTGAGACCCTGAACACCCTGTAGACCCTTTCCAAAAAAAAAAAAAAAAAAAAGCATCTGGAGTGAAGTAGCCTGGGTTCTCAGCCAACCTCTGCTACATCCAAGCTGGGTACACTGTGGGGTCCCCTTCCTTAGAGTCTTCTGACAAATGCTTTAATCCTGGACACTGTCAGGCCCAATATATGCATCACACAGGTTGTTAAAATAAATATTTGAACATCAAACTGTTAGAAGAGTAACATACAGTCCAGGTAATGAATGCATGTCAGGCACTGTAGGCACCCCTTGTATGCGCTAGATGGACCAAGGGTACAAGGGGAGCTTGCCCTGCGAGGGCACACCACATGGAGCAGGCATCATTCTCATCTCTGCTAGCTCTGTCTCCGAGAGCAGGAACCACCGGCCCAGGGTCACAGGGATGGAAGGCAGACCCCAGTACTTAGCCCTCTGGGTGTTATGGCCTCGGGCAGGTGTCTGGGTCTCCATGACCTCCTTGGGTGGGACAGTGTCCCCGCCCAGTGTCACCAAGCAGAAGCAGCAACACAGAGGGCAGAGCTTCCAAGCTCTTCTGAGAAGCATGGCCCTGAATCATATTAGTATATTTTATGCTATCTCTGCTTGAAGTACTAAGTGCTTATAATTACTTTAATTCAAAAATATTCCACAACTGAGTGTAAAATGTTGATTATGCTGTTCTTTGTACAGCAAATGATTATTGGAAATACCTATCCATGAGAAGTAGGTAAATTAATGAGGGCCTAGGCAACAGGATCCTATGCAGCCATCTGAAAGATGACCCAAATATGCCAGCCTATAATTGTGAGATCCATGAGCCAGTGAGATGGAAACAGGAAGTCTCGTCCTTAAGCCTTAGTATCAGCATGAAGTCTCCCAGGAGACTCATACAGGGCCATTGCCACCTTGGGAAGGAAAACTGGCAGGCTAGGATCGGGGTGGAAGAGTCTCACTTTTGATTTTTTAATTATAGGGCTGTATTACCCATGCAGAAATAATAAGAATACACTATAAATAAAGTAAAAGAAAGTAGCCAAGGAGCCAGAAAGAGACAAGCAGACAAATGTTAGGCCTTAAGGCGAGAAGCCAGGGCCCCAGGCCACGTCAGCCTGCCTGCCTTTGCACTATCCAGTTTGGTTTTGTGGCTCCACCCTCTACAGTAATATTTTGGCTTCCACAGGCACAGCACCCATGGGAAGCCCCAGCCAGTGTCGTCAGGTTCCGGGCTGGGCTGCCCGCCAAGGCTGGTGGTGGGCATGACACTGCCCTGGGAAAGGCGTCATCAAATGCCTGTGCCACAACACAGCCAGACAGAATAGTGACACTTCCCACAGTCTCTTGGGCCCTGCTGGCCTGTGTTCCTCGGGCGGCCTGCCAGGGTGTGAACCCTTCACAACAGACCTTCCTCCATCAGCTAACCCACAGCCTGCAGGGACTAAACCCTCCCATTCATTCATCTACCCACGTTTGAAGCAGGACTGGGGTAGGACCAGGCACACTTTAACTTCTGCTGCCCTGGTTACCTGTGCAGGGGGGCTGCGAGACAGTAGGGGACAAGGCTACTACAGTAGTCCAGGTGAAAGGTGAGGTGCTGGACTGTGGTGGGTGCAAGGGGTGTGGGATTCTGGATCAACCCTGTTGGTGGAGCCCACAAGCAGTGTACAGACATGAGTACATTGAAAAGAGACCATGAAAGAAGGCCAGGACCTAAGGTGGCCCCTGAGGGCTGGGAGTGACCTCAAGCTATGCGCAGCAAGGAAATGTGCCCATCAGATCTATTACTCAAGGAACTGGGCTTTGCTGACAGCTTGAGGTACCCAGGAGTGGACCCCAAGCTTCCCCAAAGGATCCCAGCCCAGAGACACCATGGTCTCAGGCCTGAGTGGGGGGCATGCTGTGACTGGGGTTGGAATTCTTGCCCATGCTATGTTCTGTGGAGGCACAAGGTTTGTGATGATGTGTTAGGTAACCCTGGTGTCTTAGTTACTTTCTACTCGTTGCTGGGACAAATACCCGA